ATCCATCCATGGATTCATCCATCCATCCATTTCTCCATCCATCCATCCTTCCATCTATCCATCCGTGGATTCATCCATCCATCCATTTCTCCATCCATCTATCCACCCATCCTTCCATCTATCCATCCATGGATTCATCCATCCATCCATTTCTCCATCCACCCATCCCTCTATCCATCCATTTCTCCATCCATCCATCCATCCATCCATCCATCTACCCATCCATTTATCTGTCTATCCATCCATGCATTCATTTATGCATGCATCCATCCATACATGTATGCATTTGTCTATCCATCCACCCATCCCTCTATCCATCAATTTCTCCAATCACCCATCCATCCGCTCATCTGTCATCAATCTGTCCATCCATCCATCCATCCATCAATCCACCCGTGCACCTGTCATTCCATCCTTCCATCCATCCATCAGCCCATCCCTCCATCTGTCCACCCCCGCACCTGTCCTTCCCTCTTCCCTCCCTCCATCCACGCATTCATTTATCCATCCCTCCATCCTTCCCTCCCTCCCTCCTCTGCCCCGGCCAGGAGCCTCCGGGTGGCGGGGGGGGGGCGGAATGCTCGGCGGGGAGGGGGCGGCGCTGACGTCACCGGGCGGGCGGCGGCGGCGGCTGGCACGGGAGGCAGAGCCGGGCACTCGGCGGCTTCCCAGGCGAGCCGGGCGGGCATCCCAGCAGAGCGAGCCGGAGCGAGGCCGCCGATGCCATGGGGAGCCGTGCGGGGCAGGTGAGGGGCGGGCGGCGGGGCGGGGAGGCACCCCGGGGCAGGTAAGAGGGTGGGCCGCCGAGACTCCCGGCCACTAGAAGGCAGCGGGCACCGGATGGGCCAGGTGCCCAAGGGAACCCCCCCCCCCCCCCCCCCCCCCCACTTAGCGCCTAAGGAGGGTGGGTCGCCTCTGCCCCCTGGAAGCCCAGCCTTTGCCCATCATCCCCAGCCAAGGAAACCCATTTCATAGAATAACCCATAACAGAAGGAATGGAATAACCGAGGCGGAAGGGATCCTTAGAGGTCATCTAGCCCAGGCATTCCCAACCGAGGGGAACCCTGGGGTGGGTAGGCAAGATGATATCCCAGGGGGTACGAAAACCTGGATTTAGAAGCTTCCAAATTATCTTGTATATGCATAATGAGATGTGTGTCTGTGTGTGTATGTATGTATCTGTATCTGTTTCTATATCTATCTATCTATCTATCTATCTATCTATCTATCTATCTATCTATCTATCTATGGTATTTAGGTTTCTTCGGGTGTTTTTCCACGTCTTAATAGTTGTGCTTTTAAAGTTATAGCAACATTTCAGCAACAACTATTAAGACGTGGGAAAATACCCGAAGAAACCTAAACACCATACATATAAATACCTGCGAAAACATAAGAAAATATATGTATGTATGTATGTATGTATAATTATTTACTTTCGTAAGGGGTGCAAGAATATGGAATAGAATAGAATTCTTTATTGGTCAAGTGTGATTGGACACACAAGGAATTTGTCTTGGTGTAAATATATCAGGAGAGTTCCAGGGGTATAGAAAAGGTTAGGGACCCCAGATCTAGTCCAAGCCCTTGCTCGGGCAGGACACATTTGGGGGATTCACCACTTTATCTTGTGAATATCTTGTGGCGGGGAGTTCCACCACTTCGCGGTGTCCCTAAGCCAGGGGTCTCCAACCTTAGCAACTTTAAGCCTGGCGGACTTCAACTCCCAGAATCCCCCAGCCAGCTTCACTCTAATGCAGCTTTGCTGGCTGGGGAATTCTGGGAGTTGAAGTCCGCCAGGCTTAAAGTGGCCAAGGTTGGAGACCCCTGCCCTCAGCCATCCTGGGAGGCTGCCGGGGCCCCTTCTGGGCCAGCTCCCTTCTTAAAAATGGGGGGGCCAGCTTCAAGGCCCCCAGAAGGAGAAGGTTCCCATCCTGGAGGCTTGTCCCCAATAGTTGATGCGTTGAAAGGTGGCATCTCTGCCCAGCCAGGCTTCTTTCTGGTCTCTGGGGCACGGATGGGATTCAGGACAGATCATCCTCGACTTACAACCGTTCATGAAGTGAATCACTGCAGTCGTTAGGCTAGTCACCCCGTTGTGAAGTGACTCTGGGTTCCCCGTTGTAAAATGGGGCAAAAAAAACCAAACTGAACAACTGAAAAAAAAAGTGACTTGTGACCGTTTTTGTGTGGCGGGATTCTACCTGGTCGGACCAGCTCTATGGCATGGCATGCAGGCCATCCCACTTGCCTATGTTGTGCCTTCGCCTAATTTTTGGTAAGTTGCTATTTTTCCTTTCCCCTCCCCCAACCATCAGCTGTTCTGCTGTGTCGGAAGATTTAGATTAGCTAGAAAGCAGGAAACCGTTGGATTTCTTGCTTTTTAGCTAATCTAAAAGCAAGAGCTGAACCTTCCTTAGGACTGAAGCTTCTAGTTTTCAGTGCAGAGACTCGGGTAGCAGATTGCAGAAAGGTAGATCTCTGAATGAATCTGTGATTCTGCGAGCAACTCAATCTGCCTGCCAGCTTTGCCTCATTTTGGGTAAAAGTTGCTCTTTTTTAAAATAAAAAATCTATATTTACATATTTACAATATTTACATAAATATTTACAATATTTACATTCAAGCCATGCCCAGCCAGTCACGTGATCACCAAGCCACACCCACAAATTAGGCCAAGCCCACAGAACCAGTTAAGAAATTTTAATCCCGCCCCTGCTTACGCCCTTTGCAGTACCCCCACAGTCACGTGATCAAAATTCAGGCGCTTGTCACCTGGCTCGTATTTAGGACGGTTGCAGCGTCCCCATGGTCTTGCGGTCCCCCTTTTGCGACCTTCTCACAAGCAAGGAAGCCAGATTCACTGAACGACCGGCTGACTAAC